CAACAGTCGTTCCAAAGTGTCTTACAACACATATATGAAAAATAAGTACCTGCGACTCGTATAGGAAGGCGTTTAATTGAAATGTAATTTCATCATTTGTTTCCCGTGTATTTACCTTTGTGCAATTTTCATTTTCAATGGTTGGTAAAGTTCTGCTGGCGCGAGGTGAAGGTCATCCCAAACTTTAATAGTTCAGATGTTCGTTTGATAACCTGTCATGTCAGTCAGATAGTATACGACCCCAAGTGTACGGAACAGACATTACATTTTTTTGCATTAGTGTGAGATCTCATCGTTTCACCTCAAGGTTTTATTTCATTTTATTAGTATATTGTCTATTCAGGTACCAAGTCATGGAAATCTACCACGTAAAACAGGCAAGATGTATATCACACATAACTGTTCTATTTATGTAATAAGGTGGTCCTTCTGACACTCACATCCATCTTCCACACACTTAGGTAGCACGCCAGAACAATATTACTATATATATATATAATACGTGATTGCTTTGATGAATGATAACTATTCCGTTGTTTATTTTCTAGACATGTTTCACAATTTGTAATTTAAAAAACCAGAAACCGTTTTGTTACTTAACTTTTGTTGTGACACAGGTGTACTAACACTAAAATTTCCATCGGTCCAATAGTGACGTCACAGAGTCCCCAAAGAAAGAGAACATTGCCAATTTTGCTGGTTTTTAAAGGTTGCAAAACATCTAAGTTATGTAATAAGAAAATACAATTCACCAATGGATCCATAAATTGAAAAAAAATGAAAAATATAAGTCCTTTTACAATAAAGATTAGTCATTCATGTAGCCATCTGTTTTTGTAGCTTCAAATGCAGTTATCGTAATATCAAGCCATCCCTAGTCCAGATGCCCCACTGTCAAGTCATCCTTATTTACCCGATGATATAACCACCCCAAGTGTCCAAGCATCCCCAGTCCAGATGCCCCACTGTCAAGTCATCCTTATTTACCCGATGATATAACCACCCCAAGTGTCCAAGCATCCCTAGTCCAGATGCCCCACTGTCAAGTCATCCTTATTTACCCGATGATATAACCACCCCAAGTGTCCAAGCATCCCTAGTCCAGTTATCCCATTATCTAGTCACCTCCGGTGCATCTGTTCGACTATCCAGCCACCTCCAGTTCAATTATTCAACTTTAGTCATCTCCAGTCCAGTTGCCATATTATCAAACCATCTCTAGGTAGCTCATCATCTAGCCACTCCAGTTAAATCAACCCACCATCCAGTCATCTCCAGTCCCTTGTCCCAATATCCAGCTATCTCCACTTGTCCCACTATCCAGTCATCCCCAGTCCACTTGTCCACTATCCAGCCATCACCAGTCCACTTGTCCCACTATCCAGTCATCTCCAGTCCACTTGTCCACTATCCAGCCACCTCCAGTCCACTTGTCCCACTATCCAGTCATCTCCAGTCCACTTGTCCCACTATCTAGCCATCTCCAGTCCACTTGTCCCACTATCCGGCCATCTCCAGTCCACTTGTCCCACTATCCAGTCATCTCCAGTCCACTTGTCCCACTATCTAGCCATCTCCACTCCACTTGTCCCACTATCCGGCTATCTCCAGTCCACTTGTCCCACTATCTAGCCATCTCCAGTCCACTTGTCCCACTATCTAGCCATCTCCAGTCCACTTGTCCCACTATCCAGTCATATCCAGTCAACTTGTCCCACTATCCAGTCATCTCCAGTCCACTTGTCCCACTATCAAGCCATCTCCAGTCCACTTGTCCCACTATCCAGTCATCTCAATCCACTTCTCCCACTATCTAGTCATCTCCAGTCCACATGTCCCACTATCCAGCCATCTCCAGTTCACTTGTCCCACTATCCAGCCATCTCCAGTCCACTTGTCCCACTATCCAGCCATCTCCACTCAGCTTGTCCCAATATCCAGTCATCTCCAGTCCACTTGTCCCACTATCTAGCCATCTCCAGTCCACTTGTCCCACTATCCGGCCATCTCCAGTCCACTTGTCCCACTATCCAGTCATCTCCAGTCCACTTGTCCCACTATCTAGCCATCTCCACTCCACTTGTCCCACTATCCGGCTATCTCCAGTCCACTTGTCCCACTATCTAGCCATCTCCAGTCCACTTGTCCCACTATCTAGCCATCTCCAGTCCACTTGTCCCACTATCCAGTCATATCCAGTCAACTTGTCCCACTATCCAGTCATCTCCAGTCCACTTGTCCCACTATCAAGCCATCTCCAGTCCACTTGTCCCACTATCCAGTCATCTCAATCCACTTCTCCCACTATCTAGTCATCTCCAGTCCACATGTCCCACTATCCAGCCATCTCCAGTTCACTTGTCCCACTATCCAGCCATCTCCAGTCCACTTGTCCCACTATCCAGCCATCTCCACTCAGCTTGTCCCAATATCCAGCTATCTCCAGTCCACTTGTCCCACTATCCAGCCGTCTCCAATCAGCTTGTCCCAATATCCAGCTATCTCCAGTCCACTTGTTCCACTATCCGGCTATCTCCAGTCCACTTGTCCCACTATCTAGCCATCTCAACTCAGCTTGTCCCAATATTCAGTCATCTCCAGTCCACTTGTCCCACTATCCGGCTATCTCAAGTCCACTTGTCCCACTATCCGGCTATCTCCAGTCCACTTGTCCCACTATCAAGTCATCTCCAGTCCTCTTCTCCCAATATCCAGCTATCTCAAGTCCACTTCTCCCACTATCTAGTCATCTCAAGTCCACTTCTCCCACTATCTAGTCATCTCCAGTCCACATGTCCCACTATCCAGCCATCTCCAGTTCACTTGTCCCACTATCCAGCCATCTCCAGTCCACTTGTCCCACTATCCAGCCATCTCCAGTCCACTTGTCCCACTATCCAGCTATCTCATGTCCACTTGTCCCACTATCCAGCCATCTCCACTCCACTTGCCCCACTATCCAGCTATCTCAAGTCCACTTGTCCCATTATCCAGCCATCTCCACTCCACTTGTCCCACTATCCAGCCATCTCCACTCCACTTGTCCCACTATCCAGCTATCTCCAGTCCTTTGTCTCACTATCCTGTCATCCCCAGTCCAATTATTCAACTTTTCAGCCATCTCCAGTCCAATTGTCCTATTATCCATCCAGCACTAGTTCATTTTATTCGACCATCCAGCCATCCCCAGTCCAAGTATGCCATATCTAGTCAGAACCAGTCCAGGTGCTGTACTACCCAGCCACCCATGTCCAGTTTGTCCGAATGTTTTCCTATGTACGGATATTCCGGTGTTACTCTTATACGCTTATGGAGAATGTAGATTTTGGAATAGATTTCCTGATGTGGAATGTCTTATTCGATGTCGAAACGATAAATCTATATCCGCCGGTGATTTTACCTTGGACTGGTGTTACCATACTTAACACATAAGGGGGTATTAAGTAGCTATGTAATGTCTTTTCTATATATCTTTGTATATATCGTTCTTCTCTCCCTCGTAAATGATTCGTTGATTGGTTTAAAACATATATTTTATTACACATGGCTGTGTTATCAATGATTGAAGTTATAGATATATTCTAAGGTCGTCACTCACCATCGTTCACATGATACCATCTGCGTTTTCTATAAAAATTGTACAGGAACAGTGATCTTAAAATACCCATTGATGAAAATAAACTTGAACTTGGAAACCGCTATATGTAAACGGCTGTTAACGCCCAGAATATTATGTAAACCTGTTTTTTATGGAAGATAGACTTCTATACATCCTGGCTTGTTGTTGGTGTTGGGCAGACATAATTATTGGCGGTGTTTCCCCTGTGTACCGTCACTTTTACACTCTAGCGTAACCACTGATTACCATTGTCGATCATATTAATCAACATAACATTTGTTTTTATTTTACATAATGAGATGAAATATTGTTGAACACTTTACCTCATGGTTTGTAGGATTATCCAAATGGTGAATTAAACATCTAAATTCAGGCTTGGAGACAGTAGGGCCAAATTATGAACTAAGTAGTATCAGCTGTTCTGCCATTCAAAATGATGCGGTTTCATTTATAATTGGATTTATAATTGGATTTACTGTATAATATATAAATGTTAATGACTATTAAAAGATGTTATTAACTAGTATAATTTTGGTACAATCTTCTGAAAAAGTTAACATCTTGAGGGTCACAATTTTAGTTACAACTTTTTTTCCTGCTTACGTTAACCTTTTTTAAAGTTCTGTGTTAGTAACTTTATTAATATTAACTGACATGTCGCTGGTGAAGTAGAAAACATTTAAATTTCCGGAACATTCGATCTTTACGGAGTAATTCGTTTTATCGAAATAATATTTCGTTTTTTCGAAATAATAATTCGTTTAAACGAAATATTATTTCGAAAAAACGAAATAAAATAAGTATGGAGCATGTCAGTTAACGGGCTCCGTAGATCTTATTCTCTCCATTTTCTTTTTTCATAAGGCAGGGTATGAATTATGAATTTCTGGACATGTTGCTTCTTGTTGTTTTGATATCATATGTTCCTCTAATTTTACTTTTTGTATCAATAAGTTCATGTCATGTATTTGTTATTTTGAGATGTTGGGGCTCGGGAAAACATTTTGTATTGAAGCTGGCTAAACAGATATGTTGATGTGATATGTTAGGGCTCGAGAAATATTCTGTATTGAAACTGGATGAACTGATATTGTTGTTGTGATATGTTAGGTGTAGGAAAAACATTTTGTATTGAAGCTGGATAAATTTACTATGTTGATGTGAAATGTTGGGGCATTTTTTCTGTATTTCTATCGCAATAGCAATAATTATTGAAAAAGATTTTTTTAACCAAGCCCTACATCCCCTTTCGATATTTTTTCAGCGTTATGAATTACAATACTAAAACATTCCACTTCCTGCTTGGTTTCAAACTTGTGGGATATGGAGACCTACGTTGAAAGTGCCAACTTGTCACATAAAATCTTTGTTTTTTTTACAGGGATCCCAATATAGAACCAAATCATCCGCCTTTAAAGGAGTGGCCGATTCACACACATACAGAACGGAAATACCTCCGCCTGGATACTCACTTAGTGAATAACCTGGACAAGTCCCAATCCGTCCGATCTGGGCCTAGGATAAAGCAGTGCGCTTTTTGGCGGGAATATCTACCAAAGCTGGTAACGGCGACAGGTACGTATGGGAGACTCTAAACATGTTCTTTGGATAGAAACTTCACACAAAGTCATACTGAAGAGGACAGTAATATCTACACAAGTTACGATAATTTCGGAAGCAAATTCACACAGATAAATTATAGAAATTAATATTGATCGTACAAAAGTTTGACTTAATCGTCATCCGACATGAACGATAACCATGATTCGTTGACAGGACGTAGTATTATACCCAAATAACCACTACTCATTGAAAGGACGTAGTGTTAGACCTTCCACTCATGACAGGAAGCAATACATGTATTAGACCCAAATACCTACCACACGTGACAGGAAGCAGTACATGTATTAGACCCAAATACCTAACACACGTGACAGGAAGCAGTACATGTATTAGACCCAAATACCTACCACACGTGACAGGAAACAGTACATGTATTAGACCCAAATACCTACCACACGTGACAGGAAGCAGTACATGTATTAGACCAAAATACCTACCACACGTGACAGGAAGCAGTACATGTATTAGACCAAAATACCTACCACACGTGACAGGAAGCAGTACATGTATTAGACCCAAATACCTACCACTCGTGACAGGAAGCAGTACATGTATTAGACCCAAATACCTACCACACGTGACAGGAAGCAGTACATGTATTAGACCCAAATACCTACCACTCGTGACAGGAAGCAGTACATGTATTAGACCCAAATACCTACCACTCGTGACAGGGCGTATGAGTAAACTCGATAAAATACCCAGGTCGTGTTATCTATTTTAGTCTCAGTCTCATTCTCTGTTGAAGGATGGGTTCCCGCATATTTGCTCGCAGTTACTCTTCCCCGTGAAGATGCAGGATAATTTCTCACAATTGAAAGTTCACTTTGTCTTAAAACTAACGTAAAGTGTTACTTATTCAATAACAAGTTTTGTCATGGAATCGCTTCTTATCAAACACTAGATTCATCTTTCCCGTGTATCGACATCCTTTGAATACTCGAACGTATCTTTTAACATAGAGTTATTCAATATAAGTCTTCATAGTGATTTCAACACTTTGGTTTGGCCTTACCGTGACCCAATAATATAATTGAGATCATCAGTATTTAATGAATATTTAATTTCATATACTACTTAGTCCACTGCCATAATACGGGTATCACACATACAGTGTGTGAGATCGCTGATTTAATTGGCCTAGATATCACGATATATTCCCTTTACAGTAACCAGACACGTGCTAGTGATACCAAATGTGTACTAGACAGCATGTATGCCAAGAAACTAAATATCGTTTGTCTATATTAAATCGACACGTAAATGTTGATTATTGAAATCAAATTAGGAAACATATTTCCTTGCTGTTGCGACCAGCTTTGGGGAAATCACGAGTTTCATTAACAGTCTGGTGTGATTTGGTCTTAATTGGACGTGTCCGTAAACATCAGCATTGTAAGACTTCTCTTCCCCTACCGACAATTTCTAGTGATTATCGAGTCCATTCTAGCACTACATGCCGGTATGGTGGGCTCAGTTGTCGGAGTGTTAGAAAACTTGTTTTCAAAAGAAAAGAAGGGTTTCTTTCCTAGCCTGAAGAAAGCAACATTGCGACAGGTGACATCTTTATTTGTAGGCAATGATTGTTTTGCTTTTAGAATGGGAAATTGTCATTCTAAAACGACACATAGTGACCACTGACTGACAGTTACCCATTATAAAGGATACAAACCTATGAGATCAAAAATACACAATCAATGTCGCAAGTATACACGCTTCAAGGATAAGGACAGAAACCTTATGTTTCAAATGAGTACTTAACGAAATTAATTTGGACCCAATATTACCACTTATATTACAATAGACTTCCTCAGCCAACGCAACATTATCTGAATCACGAAAGCCCACGTGTAGATACCTCCTTGTAAACCTAAACTTGAGGAGCTATCCCCCAGGAGTACAGCGTGCATCTGTTGTCAAACTTCATCAGAGAGATCGTTACAATTTGGCCGGAAATAGAATGACTACTAGGACACTTCGTAGACGCCACTCTCGACCATTGTTCTACTAAATATGACCATCTGGTAGAACGTTTTTAACTGACCGATTAGTGGTCACTTAATTAATGTGGCCTCTCATCTGACCATAAGACTTCCTGTATCCATGCTCAGGTCATCAATAGTCATATTAGATAGTGTTTGATTTAATAAACAGGACCTGAAGTTGTGTAACAGAGATACAGAGAGCTACCTTGTCGGAATATTGAGGCCCATTTACCCCGATCTTTTATCAAGTTTTCTTGGTGTGATTGTCTGCTATTGATAAGCTATCAGCGAGATCTAATGGCGACTGTATGTACGGGGACCTAGACGGATACTAAAAGTCACACTCCGTCAGGTCAGATGTTTCGTTTCGATTCGTTTTAGACAAACACAAATTCTCCATTTTATGATCTTTTGGGGGGTGCTTTATTAACAAAACATTACAAAAATTACATTACTGAAGAGGTTAATCAACAATAAGTCAATACAGAATTAACTAGGGTTAGTTATCAATTGTTTATTGTTGTCGAGTTGGACGTGAAACAACACAGAGGGCAGGAATCGAGAGGGCATGTTTGAGATTCTCTCAGTAACACGTACAACCAGGCGGAGATGAACTACATACACTATCACTCATCATTGTACTATCATTTTATTGTCAGCTTTCAACACTTAAATATTATCAAAGCTGCGTTCTTTGTGGCTGCTCAATTCTCTGTTGACTCTCGTCAAGATCAATGTTTTGGTTTATATCAACACGGAAAAATACATGATGGAAAATCCAAACTTAGTCGTACTACATGTCGCTCACGCCGATATTACGGTGATAAAGGAATAGAGTACTTACGTCTCACAAGGTTGACTATGCTCTAAACGTCTCGGCTGTGAATGTCATGTGCAATCACGTGATATAACCCCGACATACAGACATAGCAACTTGTTACAGCAAGATTTATTGTATGTTGTATGCATTGTTTATGAGCCAAATCCGATCAGGAATAATCTGGTGATAATATATAGTTAGATTTTTTTACTTCAAACGATTCTCACCGATACATAATGATTATATTTTTATTCTAGTTTACTGGAAGTCCGCCCAACATTTTCCAAGGTTAAATGGTAACGCTTTATACCAAATTTAAAGCTCTTATCGTTTTACCAGTTTTCCCATGAATATCTAAAGTTCACGAATTACAGATTTACTTGTAGGATCAAACAGAAACGTTTCCTTACCTTAATGAACAAGGTTTCAGTGTTTCAATTTTGTATAATTTGTAACGATATCATCAGTTTTAAGCACCTGTCTGATAAACTCTCTATTATCTATTTCGATAGTCCTCCGCACTTAAAGTGCGTTATCTCAATTCAAAATGTGTTATCTCAATTCAAACTGTGCTATCTCAGTTAAAAATGTGTTATCTCAATTAAAAATTCGTTATCTCATTTCAAAACGTGTTATCTCAATCCAAAATGCTTATAACTCAATGACAATGTCCTACATGTAAACTGAAATACATTAAATTCAATGATATTGTCCTACAGGTAAAAAAGATACACATTAATTGCAATTATATTGCCCTTTAGATAGGCTAATAAAAGTGCATAATACTCAATGATACTACCATTCGGGTAAAAGTTAAGTACACAAAACTCAATGATATTGTCCTACAGGTAAACACAAATGATATAAAACTCAATGATAATGTCCTACAGGTAAACACAAATGATATAAAACTCAATGATATTGTCCTACAGGTAAACACAAATGATATAAAACTCAATGATATTGTCCTACAGGTAAACACAAATGATATAAAACTCAATGATATTGTCTTACAAAACTCAATGATATTGTCCTACAGGTAAACACAAATGATATAAAACTCAATGATATTGTCTTACAAAACTCAATGATATTGTCCTACAGGTAAACACAAATTATATAAAACTCAATGATATTGTCCTACAGGTAAACACAAATGATATAAAACTCAATGATATTGTCCTACAAAACTCAATGATATTGTCCTACAGGTAAACATAAATGATATAAATCTCAATGGTATTGTCCTATATAAAAAGGGCGTACATAAAACCCAACGTATTGCCTTACAGGTAAAAATAAAGTGCATCAATGTTAATTATATTGCCATTCAGATAAATGACAAACATTAGTTTTGATTATATTTCCCTTTAGGTTAGATGAAATACGTATAATTTGATGATATTACCTTAGCGGTAATAATGAAATTAACTAATACAAATCAAGTATAGTATCCTAAAGGTGAAAAAAACAAATAAAAGAAAACTCGAAGATATTGTATAATATGCAGTATGACATTAATGATTATTTTCATTAAGTAACAAACATCGACTTTACATTAAAGTTATTAAGTGACCTTTTTATATATCATAGCTGACTAGACCTTTTGTTTTAAGTCAAATTGTGTAGAGAAAGTAATTTCACTGCAACGTGTGTTATGAATAGAAAATTACTTCAATCGATACAGAATACAAAGTTTGATATTTACAACAATTAAGTCCTCTCAGCACTCACTAGTCGTATCAGAAATATATACAAAACAGAAGTCTGTTAACTACTAGAAATGTAAATCTCTACAGCACAGACGCTGACCTTATGTGACTTCTGCCTCCATTAGACATACATCAAACAGGACACCGACCCCAGTGTTAGTACGCCGCCAGATCTCCACAGATTACTACCTATCAGTGAAATCCAGGCAAGCTTGACAATATCTGAAGACGGGCTGGTATGCACTCTTGGAGTGTAAATATGCATTTCAAGATATTAATTTAGATTTGTCATACACATTGTTTTCCTCAAAAATGCCGGTAACACTGCAGTAAATGTTTTTTCTGTGCAGAAACATCAGGAGGATCTGGAAAACCGCTGATACCATGATAATGTATATCACGAAACCATATATCATGCATTTTAAAAACAGCACGAGATTCCTCTATCGATGTTGATGCAGCGTTCTCATTAGAAAGTATTTTATCTTAATTAAGAAAAAAACAAGAACGAGTTATCTTAATTAAGAATAATAAAAATGATGTGTTTGGAACACACTCACAGTATCCAAATCAGTTTCACCAATTATATGTTGGATGAGTTCAAAACCAAGTGGCAAACTGATGTTATCACCTTTTATCACATAACTGGTCTGTTGTGTTATGTCAAACAGCCATCTCACATGACACCGGTATAAATAACACTATTGCGACTCCATAACTAAGTCTCGTCTTGATGACGTCACCTAATTGTCTCGGTAACAAAAAACCTGCTGCCCGCGTCGAAAATAGTTTTCGCTTATTTTCAGAAAAACGAATTACATGACATGAATCTTACACTTGTGCAAATGCAATATAAAGTTAATAAAAATAAATTTGAAATGGCACTCACCTAAATGCTCGTGACATATATATTCAACTTGTTATGTCATTCCATGTTACATCGACACTCATTTATGAACATCTATCTCTAACCCTGTTTGTATACCAATATAACCTGAGAAGTGCTTTGATTGACGTTTTTTATATAACGTTTTATCAATAGTCATCCATACCCCATATCTTTCGTCATTCGTTAGTATATTTTAGTATAGAGAAGATGCATATTGATCTGGTCATATGTACCTTTTTTTCTTAAATCAGACTATATGTGATCCATACCTGTAGACCTTCAACAACTTTGCATCCCTTTTACTAAACCCGTTCTCGTGATGCTTTCTATACTGTCACTGATTCTCCCAGCATAATCTCATCACAGATCTGTATAAACTCTACATTAAGATCTATACCTTTTTAATTTTATATATAGTACCTCCAAGAAAGAAAAGGAAATCCTTATGGAAATATTGATCCATAATGTGTTTTTCAGTCTACAAAGATTGATGTACAAACCGGGTATAGAAAAGATTCTAGGTTACCGAGGTTTACATTGTATGAATACGTCGTATAATAATCATATATGGTTTTGTATGCGCATAGTGCATTACGTAACTAATATGTTTTGTACTTGGTGGTTTGGATGAAACTAAATATATTCAAGGTCTTTTCGCCCCTATAAGGCATAACCATTGAGCATGATTGTAGTTCTCCGCCATTTTGATCATAATTTTATAAGAATTATTCCTGTATAACCCATTTACTAAAAAAAAGGGGGAAAAATATAGGTGAGTCAGTTACCACAGCAATAATTCAGGGCGAAAAGACCTGGGGAGTAAAAAAAAAAGAAGAAAAACCTGCAGTTCATAAAGGCATGTCACGTGACTCTCCCGAACCTATTGAATACTGTATTCCATACGTAAATCAATTGTATATGTTACCGATGTTGATTTCCTTATGGATATATTAGTTATTGTGTTTAAGACACACCAGAGTGACAGTAGATTCGGGAGTGATACGGTCTACATATACAATAACAAGTGTTACTTACTAAACTGTTTGTTTGTTGCTGTTAGAAATCGTTTGTTTTTGCGAGAGTTTTTTTTTTTTTTTTTTTTACTTCGCGCGATATTTGCAGTTTGCTGAACGTTGACTAATAAACCACCTGAAAAAGGATTACAGGTAACAGTTTTACAATATTTCATATTTTGTTTGCTTTTTTTGACGCTGTTTCTAGCATGGGATATGTCGCTAGGAAGGCTGTCTCCATTTAATCTGAACTAAAAACATTTCTTATATATTGTTTAGTCAGTACTTTGTATTATGTATCTAAAACTATCATTGCTAAAAGTCACAGAGCACGACTACATATCTAATGATTAAAATACTTGTTAATTCGTTTTGAATAGAAATTAATGTTTACCATTAAGTGTATTACTAATATAAACGTGAATGTACAAACAATTAATAGTTACTTGGTTTTAAGCGTTAATTGACCTCTCCAGCTAGCTTCTGATATTTCTTTCGATCACCACGGATTTCCTCCATGGGCTTCTATGTGTAACATTTTAGGCTCTGAGTATCACTGACGAGTCCGAAAGGGACGAAACAGCTGTGTGATGAAGTTTAATCTATTGCTTTGCTTTACTGACATGGTATTAAATGGTGAATTGACTTGTGTGACATCTGTACAATTGAGTACAAGGCCACAAAAATCAGTAATAGTATTTTGTGTTTTTGTTAGTTTATATTCATATATTGTATATAAAAATATCTGTAGCTTACCATTGTTATATTAATTGTACCTACCCTGTACTATGGCATGCTTAACACCGTCATGTCTCGTGACTATTTAACCACTAACACAATTAAACATGATGTGTCACATATACTCCTCACAGCTCTCGACACAGTCATTCGCTACGTCAATTGGTTACTCACGTGGTTAATATCCGAAGTATGCGTATTCTAACCTTCGGTTTGGCAATAGAATTGGAAAAGAAAAGGTAAATGACGTCACATGAGAAGGTCTCACGTGATAGTGCGCGTAATTCCAATGACACTACAGTTATCCTAGTGCCAATACCTGAAACTTTGCTAAATAAACGTCTTGAAACTTTGTGGAGATCTGATAACAACTGATAGTGTGTATAATCATCTAACACACCACGCCGTAATACTGTCCTCATATATCAATGGCCATCACCTGGTGATTATTTAAACTTACACAAACATCTCAATAACGTATTAGTGATCTACAGGAATTGTATTCAGACGTAACCTGCTGTCTGCTCTAACACAGAAGTGAGATAATCAAGATAAAGAGAGATTCTGCTCCGATAGATAAGGATAAAACATTGCTGAAGACATTTCCTTTTTCACAACATCCTCTATAAATGCAAACGTTTTCTGTTTAATTAGAGGATTTTCCAAGGCCAATTACTTACATGAATTTTTGTTAGACAATCACTCTTATATGAAATGCTAATAAAAAGCGTATAAACCTTTCGCTGTGTCGAACATCTATCCGAAGGAAACGAAAATTTACAATGATCATTTTATACAAATAATCTATCAACAATATGTGATTTACTTTGATATAACTTGTATTATGGTAGGGATCGTGTTTGACATTACCAGGAAATATAATGATTGATATAAAGTAAATCAGCATCACAACAGGTGCTTGATATGGTAATGAATTGTGAATGTATAGGAAAGTATATGTAATTAACGCAATAGAATACTGTGTAGTGTTACGTTACGAGTAAACCTTTAGCATAGACTTCAAAATATCGACGGTTCAAATGAAGCACACCCTTTACGTGTCAATGAGATGTGACTGAATCAAATAACGCTTAATATGTTTTGTCGATGGCATTCCAAATGTATTCAAAATATGTTTAATTCAGTGGAACAAGCTATTTTTTATTTGAGTTCAAATTTTGCTACATAATTTTCGATGAAAATGATATTTTTACTGGTGAATAACATCTAATTTTATTTTATCCAAATATTTTATGAACTGTTATTTGGACAATCATTGATTTTCAGCAGAGATACTTGTACAAATTTGATTGATACTTTTTTATGTTGCACCATTTTTAACTTTGGTTCATTTCACGTAAAACGCATCGCCATTGGATGACCATGTTAATTACTTAAAGTGTTTTTTAAATGTTAATTGGTGAGTTCTCTGCTTTATACTCCACATAGAAATCTAGAATAGAGATCAATTAATTACAATTGATTTAGTAAAACTGAAGATAACTGAATACATACTTAATACTTGTCTGACTCAACACTTGTTTAGAATTTCAGTGCTGTTAGGTTGTTTACCCGTTAACATAGTGTATAGTATACGCAGCTTAAAGTGGAAAATGATCCCAATGTTTATCGGATTGGTCCAAATCTTTGAAATAGAAAGTAATGAGCAGAATCAGACACCATCTTGATCGATTTTATTTTGTACAACTATCTTAATGTATTACCTGGAAGAAAAATGGCCGCCAATTATTTATCAGAAAATGTTCCCTTCTCTAAAGCTATCTATGTTTACATATCCTTTTATACTATTCATAATTTAAACGTGTGTTTTAAAACAATACAGTTGGACTTTTAACTAATACTTTCAGTGCATCGAAGAAGAGAGGAAATTACAAGTCACCTTAAAACGTTTAAGTCCATTACGATAAAGCGATGTTGAGATATGCCTAGGCGACTTATCTATATCTTTTCTATCGATAGATGATTTAGTGTCATTGGCACATAGAAACATTGGCACTCGTCATGAAAAAAAAAGCTTTAATGGACAGATACAAACACAAACCTGTAACTTGTGTAACCGTTTATCATATTTCGCAACGTAGGTACACAATCATTATTACTAGTAACTTGTGCAAAATGTATGTTCAGAAATTTTAATCTGGATAGAGGGGAGAGTTAAGGTTATTCATTATCAAATATTTGTTGTAATCAGGATTTACGTTTCAGCGGACAACTATCTTGATCTCACTGGTCAGTACATAAATGCTGTTTTGTTTTTACTTTTCAGCTGACATGTCGGAGTTGGAAAAACAATGGAAGGTTCAATTTTCTGAATGGAGCAATAAATATATTGTGGACTGGAAAAACCAGTTTGACAGTTTTAAAAGAGACTACGAACAACGAAACCAAGAATGTGATCGGAATTAAGTGACACATCGAAATTGTTAAAATCTCCTTAATGTTTGCAAAAGCAACGTTTTTAAATTTGGGTGGTTTCATATATTGTGTGTATTGTTAAGAGCCATGGATCTGTGAGACATACAACTAGTTTAAATGTTGAAACACCGACGTAATGATTTATATAGCAATTTAAAACTCTTCAACAATTAAAAACATTCTGAAAATATAATTAGGCTTAAGAAATCTATATTGATAGTACACGGCATTCTTTCAGAAAGGATTCACGGAATTCATAAAACTTACATGTGGCAATGAATTTAAAAAATAATCCAAAATCTTTGACATCAAAATTAGTAGCATTATGACACATTGACAATATTTGATTTGAAAACATTTGCAAAACATAAAATAGATTTGGGCAAATACATAGCATGGGCTAATTTTAATATGTAATATACGATGATAGATTATCTTTGAAAAGACAAACCAATGAATCAATAAATTAATCCAATCTAATGAAAGCGGTTTGTGATAAAGATATTGAGGTGAAATGTGTTATCTTCCACTCGGTCTTAAAAAGACTTGTAACACTATCTATATACAGGAGTATTATGATATACTAATATGTTTAAACAATAGGGCCGAAATTTTAAACCTGAAAAACATTTGTAGAAACGTGAATTTGTATGGAATGAATGATTGTTTTATATAAATAATTTAATGTACATTTTTGTAAATATCGAAATATTTATTTTATAAGATTTATGATTTTATTTTAAAAAGATATAATGAGGATGAATGATTATGACAAAAAAGCTTCGCTAAGATGTTCATTTTTTGTGTGTGTGTCGAATACCTCATTATCAGTGATGTTAAATTGAGTCTGATGTATTTTAGCAGTTTGAAGCGACTGGTGTATAAAAATGATACTAGCAATTTTTTTAAATGGTCCTCAAAACAAAGCAAAAAACAGCTCATGGTTGATGCTTTTTACAAAATTTTGTTTCAAGACATATAAGAAAATGTGTTTTAGCGCTGTTTTAGCCGGCGACTTGACGTAAATGTGGACCAGTAACGTTTGATCAATACACATTGGTAGAGGTGTTACTTATACAGAACACAAGCCGTAAACATCTAATGTTGTCTAGGTGTGTCATTATGTACGGAGACAGTTAAGTGCATGTTTCATGTAAATCACAGTCAATTTGTGAAATGGAACAGGAATACTGCAAAATGTAAAATGTTTAATATATTGATGATATCTGTAATGGAATTATTCTGTAAAGTTAACGGTAAACTGCACTGCTAACAAACATACCGAGAAAGTTGACCATACACAAAGCCAATAGAACAGAGCGTCAACATACGAGGCTAATCTACAAACCATTGGTGTACATACAACGAGGCAGATTCACAAACCATGGGCAAACGGTCACCACACAAGGCAGATTCACAAACCATGGGCAAAACGTCACCACACGAGGCAGATTCACATACCATGGGCAAAATGTCACCACACAAGGCAGATTCACAAACCAGGGGCAAAATGTCAACACATGAGGCAGATTCACATACCATAGGCAAAATGTCACCACACGAGGCAGATTTACAAACCAGGGGCAAAATGTCACCACACGAGGCAGATTCACATACCATGGGCAAAATGTCACCACACGAGGCAGATTCACATACCATAGGCAAAACGTCACCACACGAGGCAGATTCACATACCATTGGCAAAACGTCGCCACACGAGGCAGATTTACAAACCATTTGCAAAACGTCACCACACGAGACGGATTTACAAGCAATTGGCAAAACGTCAACACACGTGGCAGATTCACAAACCATGGGCACAATTTCACCACACAAAGCAGATTCACATACCATGGGCAAAACGTCACCACACTAGACAGATTTACAAGCCATTGGCAAAACGTCAACACACGAAGCAGATTTACAAACCATGGCCAAAACGTCAACACACGAGGCAGATTTACAAACCATTTGCAAAACGTCACCACACGAGGCAGATTTACAAACCATGGGCAAAACGTCAGCACACGAAGCAAATTCACTTACGATTGTCAAAACGTCACCACACGAGGCAGATTCACAAACTATTGGCAAAATGTCACCACACGAGGCAGATTCACATACCATGGGCAAAACGTCAACACACGAGGCAGATTTACAAACCATTGGCAAAACGTCACCACACAAGGCAGATTCACATACCATGGGCAAAACGTCACAACACGAGGCAGATTCACATACCATGGGCAAAACGTCACAACATAAGGCATATTCACATACCATGGGCAAAACGTCACCACACGAGGTAGATTTACAAACCCTTTGCAAAACGTCGCCACACAAGGCAGATTCACATACCATGGGGAAAACGTCACCACACGAGGCAGATTTACATATCATGGGCAAAATGTCAACACACCAGGCAGATTCACATACCATTGGCAAAACGTCAACACACCAGGCAGATTCGCATATCATGGGCAAAACGTCAGCACACGAGGCAGATTAACATATCATGGACGTACATATGTTACTTCAACACACGAGGTAGATTTACAAACTAATGGAATTACGTTAACACAGGAGCCAAATTTAGATATCACGGGTATAACGTCAACACACAAAGGATATTTACGTAACATGGGCATACATTTATCAGTTCAACACACAACGCAGACAGTGATACAAAATTGCTAACATAACATGGTCATCAGTTATATCCGATATAGAGAAAGTACGGTAGCTGACCATTTAAAAAAGATGACCGCCGAAAAGGTTCGACTGTAAAAAAAAAAAAAAAAAAAAAAAAAAAAAAAAAAAAAAAAAAAAAAAAAAAAAAAAAAATAATAAAAAATTTAAAAAAAATGGACATGAATGTAACGAAATTGTAGCATGACTATATATATTGCACAAAAAGAAACACGGAATGATATATTGGAACACAACTGAACACAGACAGAACTTGCAAGCATTATATTGATATAAAATACAGCTTGGCGGGGACTGTGTTACCGGGAAACAGTTATATATCCATACTTTGTCACACTACGGGTAATGTCAACGTAGCAGGCTGTATATGGAGGCATTGTAGTCTGTTAGCAAAGCAGCAAATGTAACCATCTATTAGAATCAAGGTATATTTTAGTTCTGGTAGTTGTCATTTTTAAACTTTGTGATGATGGTTGTGAAATACAGTATATACATGTAAATGTGACAAACACCATCCATTTTAATATTTTAATATTGGATGATAAGCATTATGTTCGTACCATTTCACTATTCATTTCACATTATCATTTGCAAAATCTACGATGTCACGTGGTAAAAATAACTGTAATGACTGATATCACATGGCATAATCACGTGACATAGTTATATAAACTGTATCAATATATATGTTAGGTCGTAGTGTTATATTTAGGGAGTGTGTTATTCATGCCTGGAGTGTTGATAAATAGATGGATGAAATGTACGGATGGTTCTTGAGAGAGATTTACCCTTATTAGAGATAAATAGATAATACCTTATATGTAATAATACAACTTTATGGTTCCTTTTTAAAAGATAACGGTTGCTTTATGGAATGGTTACGTCCTAAAAATTATTGACGTTTATAACGGGGAGAAGAGAAAGGCCGTTATAGCCCGGAAAAAAGTTTGAGGGGTAGAACGACGTGATTGAGATTTAAAGCTTTTCACGATTAACTTGCAGTTGCTGGGGAAGGGGAATTTGGCTTAATAGCTAGAAAACAGACATGCACATTGGTTCTGGATAGATAAATGGGGTTAGAAGATTGCAACACAAATTTGTATGAGGTAAAAGAGAGGAATTATGTATTTGTAACTTGTGAATTAAATTTTAGAAGCGAGGAGAGAAGGAATCTGGACTTATATCTAATAAATACATATTTGGATGTGAAGCAGAGAAGAAATGGGGATTTATGGAGCAAAGAGGGAACGGAGACTTATAGCTTAAAAATACAGGTTTGGATGTGGAGTAAAGAGGAAATGGAGATTTATAGAATAGAAATATGCAATTGGATATGGATCAGAGAGGGAACTGGGACTTCAAGCTTAGAAATATGCATTTGGATCAGAGAGGGAACTGGGACTTCAAGCTTAGAAATATACATTTGGATCAGAGAGGGAACTGGGACTTCAAGCTTAGAAATATGCATTTGGATGTGGAGCAAAGACTTAACGAGGACTTCAAGCTTAGAAATATGCATTTGGATGTGGATCAGAGAGGGAACGAGGACTTCAAGCTTAGAAATATGCATTTGGATGTGGATCAGAGAGGGAACGAGGACTTCAAGCTTAGAAATATGCATTTGGATGTGGATCAGAGAGGGAACGAGGACTTCAAGCTTAGAAATATGCATTTGGATGTGGATCAGAGAGGGAACGAGGACTTCAAGCTCAGTAATATGCATTTGGATGTGGAGCAAAGAGGGAACGTGGACTTCAAGCTCAGAAATATGCATTTGGATGTGGAGCAAAGAGGGAATGAGGACTTCAAGCTCAGAAATATGCATTTGGATGTGGATCAGAGAGGGAACGAGGACTTCAAGCTTAGAAATATGCATTTGGATGTGGATCAGAGAGGGAACTGGGACTTCAAGCTCAGTAATATGCATTTGGATGTGGAGCAAAGAGGGAACGTGGACTTCAAGCTCAGAAATATGCATTTGGATATGGAGCAAAGAGGGAATGAGGACTTCAAGCTCAGAAATATGCATTTGAATGTGGAGCAAAGAGGGAATGGGATTTAGAGCTTTGAGACACAAATAGAGAGAGGCGAGAGTGAAATGTGTATTGTGTTTGGGGGAAAGGTGATTATCATGTTGATCAATAAAAGAATTGCATACAGGAAGTAGTTTGGTATGGGAAATCTTCTGAGTGTTAGAGAGAACTATTTACACTGGGACATACTGTGAGATCGTAACCATTTTTGTTGGATTTTGTTGTGCGTTAGGGTTCCTCACGAGATGT